CGCCATGGGCCACCGCGACGATGGCAGCGGCCATGGATATGGCCAGCCGCAAGCGCATGCTGCGGTGAGAGACGAAATGCGCACTTCAAGTGCATGGACGAGCGGGCTTCCGCAGGTTACTGCGACGCCCAACACAGTTCCAAACGGGTTCTCTTTAGACGGCTGTTGCCGCCTGGTGAGCACCAAGTGCGCGAACCGGAAGTGCGCTCAAGCAAATGAGGCGTGTTTATTGGCTACATGGTGGGACCACCGTGACGCGTCGCCCACTGCATACAGTGCGTGCGGAAGTAGACTTGGCACATGCAAGCATATGTCTGTACAATCAAAAGGGACCAGACTACAGTAGTCTAGTGTAAGGACACGCGACACGAGCACGTATACTAACGTTAAAAGACAAAGGACTTGAGTTGCCGTAGAAACTCGTTTCGACGCGAACTTGAGGTGCGCGAGCTTGACGTCATCCGTATGGTGGCGCCGACGCGGCAGGACCACAAGGCGTGTCATTGGATCAAGATTTGCATGCAGAAATGTCATTTCGGCAACGCTGCATTTGGATGAAAGCGCTCATACACGGTGGTTGTGCACCCATGAGTGTGGGCAGCAGCCGTGCTAGACGGGCCATGAAGCAGCGTCCCAGTAACATGTCTTTTCACCGCCGGCTCATTTTTGCGTCCGGCGAGATGCTGCAAGGGAAAAGTGGCGACTGCCAATCAAAGCATATTCGAACGCCTGCCTACGCACCTTCATCGCGCGTGACGGTAGCTTCGGGCGACATTGCTTACAAATTCTAGCATCGCCACGCTAGTCACTGCGCTTGCTTCACGCTCTATGTTGTTACACTGACAGGCCTGAGAGGGTTCACAGTGCGCCGGCTGCAAACCCCCATTCGATTGTGCAAGCAACGTCTTCTACTATGGTACCTCTACCGTCGCTGCCGTGTTGAAGCACGTTGTTGAAGCGGTCGAGTCAACAGCTTCAACATCACGACACCCAAGCGGACCGACACGGGCATTCTTGCTTCTCTTGCGCAGCGGAATGCCGCGGCGTAGACGAGGTAAAAGGGGTCGAGTCGCCAACGCATCAAGCAACGTTATCTTGTAACCTGACCAATTCGTCCAGCGTAGTACAATGCAAGTGCCGTAAGACATTAGTTCTGCAGTCTTGCAATCAATTCATAATATGTTTGAGCAGAATCTTCGCACGCGTGGAAAGCTTCCAGGAACGTGGCAAGGCCTCGTGGCAGCAGTCGATAAATCCGATGCGCGCATTGGTTATAATGCAAGGAGTGTCTGCTTGTTCATTGGCTGGTTCTCGATGGAGATCACCCAATCGCTGCGTAGTACACATGCATGCTTCGGCGGCCGAGCATCTCAGCATCTCAGAATGACGTCCTCACGCCGCATGCAAGACCCTCGGCTAATACCGGTACGACTGATGCAAGAACAAAGACGAATATGACTCATTTCATCTGTGACGAGCCAACGCAGAAAAGTCATGTCAGTGAACCTGACGCGCATAACGCCAAGGAGATGACGATCGTCGATGCTAGTAGAGCTGTTCGAGGCTGTGATCGCAAGGTGGGCGGAAGTTGGCACCTGCACACGCCGTCACATTCAACAGCAGCCAGCCAACCTGGCAATGGCCGCACGGTTGGGCCCTCTGATATTATGCGCGTCTCGTCGCCGCTGCCACGTCATCCATCGCTACACAGTACTTCCGCAGGACATTTCTGTGGTCAAGACCTTGTCGTCGACTTGGGGCATGTATGCATTTCTACGCTACACGTCGACATCTCTGCCGACAACTCTGCCGACATGGTCGTGGCTCGAACGAACCCGGTGCTTTCCGCATGTACAGTGCCCTTGGTAGTCCACATCAACGAACACTTTAATCGTGTTGCCTCATCAAGTTCACCAACGGTGTTGTTACTGCACCCCCGTTGCCTTGTGCCTCCTGGTCGATTGCATGCCTCTGCTTTCGCCCGTCGCGGCAATGCGACTTGTTCAAGCTCCGTGGTCACAGCTTGAGCCAATGAAGTAAACGTGTCTTCTTGTCTCGTCTGTAGCGGTGCAGCGGTGCTTGCCAAAAGTGACGGGACGCACCATTGCTATTCGTACGTGCGAGCCATGGCCGGAACGCACAACAACGACACGATGGACCACACGACTGGAATAATTTACTAATAAAAATGGACTCGAGACACCTGACTACTCGGACGAGGTCGTGTCAAACGACAAGGCTTCGACGCGCGTCCCATTCGACGTCCAAAAGCTAGCGTCGATCGTCACGACAAGGTCGTGCGCCGTCGACCGAATGCCAAAGCGCTTGTCCAAGCTGTTGGCGAGCGTGCAATTCTCAAACGGCATCAAGTCGCCGTGCTTGCGCGCCATCGCTGCGCCCATGGTCGACGCATTGAGGTAGATGTACGCCGTTGGATTGCGAAAAATGGGCCGCGCCTGGACGTACAGCAGCACAAAGCAGCGCTGCTTGGGGATGCGCAGCGCCATCGAGCGAATGGTGTCGCGCTCGCGGAGGCGGACGTGCTGCTGCTGCAAGAGCAGGCTCGCGTCGCAAAAGTCGTACGCGTCGCGGGACGCGTCGGCGTGGGTCATGCTGAGCGCATAGCAGGACGACGCAGGGGATGACTCGAGCACGATCGTGTCGGGCGTGAACTGCGCAGCGTACAAGCCAACAATCGAGCCAAAGACGAGGACGGTAAAACCGACTTGAACGAGGAAGATCCGGCACCAGGACGGCGCCATGCTACCTGCAATTTCAAGACTGACGGCCTGTCGGAAGCGCTTGGATGAGGGTGCAAGGTCGAGATCCAGCTGCTGGCTTGTCTGATCGCCCAGCTGCCGATGGTATGATACACTTGATATCTAAATATACAGGGTATCGTTAGAAAGAGGTTTTGACCTGTACAATATGTCTGCAGAGTTTTTAACAAAAATATCAGACCCGATAGGTATCGAAAGATAGAGGTTGGGGAAGGCCGGCGCCACCCTCTACTGGCGACGTCCCTGGATCAGAGCCGT